ATCGGCGCTGCGGCATCTATCGCCAAAGATGAGGGGAGGAACAGCAGGTAGAGGGGGAGGGGCACATGAAAATGATGGTGCACGCGCGTCTTGTCATGCCGTGTCGCATCTTCCTCTTGCAGTCGTTCCCGCCACGGTTTTCGCTGAGACCGACGGAACGGTAACCCAGCGAAATAATGCTGGTGGATGAAGCCTTGCCAGTTCGATGTCGCATCTTCTTTTTGTAGTCTTGTCTACCGACATCTTCTCGCCACAACCCAACACATCATCAGGACTAATTAGCGGATCGATACATAATCATACAGGACCAGTAAGGATCGATCGGGGATGTGTGAAAAGTATAGGAGACATGACAGGAAAGACTTCATGCACAGTTACCGGCCGAAAAAACTCCTTCGAGCTGCACAGTCCAGAAGATCCACTTGCATGGTAGTTGGGTACTATCCCAGGTCGTGAAAAATGCTTTACACATCTCACTTGCGGAATTCCATCGTTTCCACTCCGCTGAGGCCCGTGGGCTCAGGCAGATGGGTTTCGGTGTGGGACTGGGACGTTGCCACAACCCCATCAACTGCGACACACGGGCTTTGCTTCTCTGGCTTAGCTCCCGAAGGCGGTCGCCACGTAGCAACTGCGGCAACACCGATTCCAAAGACGAGCACAAATGAAGCAAGCTGAATGCAACCCCAACGGGGGATCCCCAAGAACATGGGCTCCTGCACTCCTGGTGTGCCGTACCATGGCGCTGAAACCAAAGCTATGACAAACATAAGAAGGATGAGGACGAGGCTCGGCTCTTTGGATGTGGCCATTACATCCTGGATGTGGCTGAGTTCGAGCAACTGTTTCCGACGCGAGCTGGGAAGAGCAAAGTGCACCAGGCTATCCAGGCCGACAGTCAGGAAGTTCAAGAAGGCAGATACATTGATGTCAGGCACATACTCCTCGAGAGGGTTCCCGAAGATCACGAGTAGGATCAGGGACAGGAGGCCTACGAGGATCCCAGCGCTTAGTGCCCGTTCAGGCACTGACATGTACAGACCCATCCCAAATGCCGGGAGCAGCTGCAGGAGCATGCCGTTTTGAAAGACGATGATGGCGCCCATTTGGTCACTGCTCAAGTAGGTACCCATAAAAAATGCGACGGCGCAAGTGAATACTGAACTGACCACTCCAACTCGCACCACGGTCTCGGTCGACATTGTGGGCACTAGAGCTCCCTGCAGTATGTCGATCGACACGACACTGGATACACCCATCAGGGCAGAATCAGCAGTGGACATGATGGCTGCAAGTGCAGAGCAGGTCATGACGGAGACTAAGAAATATTGAAAAGGGCCCAGAAGTCTTAGCTGTGCTGTTAGTCCAGAAAAGGCTGTGGCTTTTTGCTCGATGGCTGGCCAAGCGGGATCGTTGGCTGCCTTCGTGAGGCCTATCACAATGCCAGGGGGCTGGGCAATAAATGGGGCGAGGAGCATGGCTCCAATCACGATACGCAAGTCGAAGTCGCTGCGTGCGATGTAGGCTCGCTGCAGCATGTGGGGTTGAACCGGAGCCGCAAGCATGTTGACGAGGAAAAACAAGATGCTGCAGAGCGTTGACCTGCTTGGGAAATCATAAAACTCTGGCTTCACAGCATCGATGCAGCCGGCAGTGAGGCAGTCTGGCCCAGAACAATCCGTCTCTGGTGCTTCGTAGGGGTTTGGCAGGTATGGCGAAACATGCACCAAGTAGGGGCAATCGGCAGGGGCCATCTCCGGCAGGAAGCCCCACTCAGCTCCCACCAAAAATGGAACGGTCAGAAAGGCAGCAATCATGACAATGCTTTGCACCACATCGGTGAACACCACACTGTTCATGCCACCCAACATCTCTAAGGTGAGTATCATGGCCGAAAAAATCAGCATGCAAACCCACTTCGGCACGACCCCCAAGGTCATTCCCTCCACCATCGCCGCAAAGGAAATCATTTGAGCAGTGATGTAGAGAGTCATGGGAATCACGCCACAAATGGCGCAAAGGACTCTCAGGCGCTTGGTACCGAAGCGATCCGAGATGAAATCGAAGGGGCTGGTGTAGTTGCGCTCCACGGCCAATCTTCGGAGCCTGTCAAGAAAGTTCGCGTCGGTTCCTGTCACCCCTGCACCCCTCTGAATGGAGCCTATGAGGCTTCGCAGGCCTTCACATCTACTGTCTCCGACAATCCAACAACCCACTTCACACCAAACAAAACAAGATCAGTCTGCTTGCCTGAATCCTTCTGCCCAGAACCTGGCAGAAACCCCAAGACATCATGAGCAATCCGTCTCGCCGGAGCACGGGGTGCGCCGTGCAATGGTGGCTCATTTATCTGTCGCACGGGGTCGTGGAAAATGTCTCCCTGTCGTGCCGTTCTTGCACCCATCTCATCAGGCAAACAATAAAAACACCGTTAATGATCGTTACTGCTCTGTCCCCTTCTTGTCTCCTTCGACTCTCATTTTTCGAAAGATGCCAAAACTGCCTGAGGAACCCCCTCGGGATTCGTTAGCACGTTGGCAACATGCACATTACGCACTCTTTGCCCACTCGGCGCAGCCAAACACCTACGGATCCCCTGCCGCTCGAACTCTGGACCTTCTCTCTGAAAAGTTGGCCTGGGATAAAGAAGCAGCATCCCGGCGACAATCACCAGGGTCGCGCCAATCCATCTCAGAGACACGAAGCCCTTCGCAAAGGCCTCATCTGGAATGCCCGTAACCGTGAAGCCTGGGCTCGAGAAGGCACTTTGGGGAGGGCTTCCATCCAGGCTGCAAGGTTTCAGCTGGGAAGCCAGAGTACACCGTAGAGAAGGTAGTCAGCATCAGCACGAAAGAACCATAAGAGCCGCTGAAGTGAGCCTTCACCTGCTCGAGTGATTCATATACATATACATATTAAGGGCCTCCCAAAACTTGCTTGTTCTCGTCTCGGCGCACCTTGCCGAGCGCAGCCGATTCCCTCTGCTTCCTTGCATGCGCCACTTTCGCAATGCCGATCAGCAGGGCGATATAGATGCCCACAACAACCTCAGACTCCGCAGTCAGTATAGTGTGTAGCAAATGAAAGCAGTCTGGCAGCAGCCGCAACGGTGTTTCCACAGGGTTTTTGTACAATTATCTTCTGCTTCTTTTGATGGCGAATGGTTGGACTTGCTCGTCTACAGTGGATGCCAACGCATCTTAAAGGTGTCCGGGAAACGTACAGCACCACGTTCCCGCTTTGTTGCTCCTGCAACAGTCACACTCGGGCTAATCTTCGAATAGAGCTTGTTGTGGCTCAGGGAACAACAAAAACTCTCCTCCGCTTGACCCACACTCTGTCACCGAACCAACCCAGCATTGAGCCCTACCTCACCTCTTCTGCGGCTGCCATCGGCGAAGCGGCCGACTCTGTGACGCGGCTCCGGCAATCTACTCCCTACGCTTTAGCACACCTACGCGCACCTTTCCGAGCCCGAGAGGCTAGACACTGACAGGCTTCGCTGGAAGGTCTGACGACAAGCATGGCTGGAGGGCAAGGTGACTTTCGTAGTCACCCATGAGCATGAGCTTGGCCAGGTTGATTACCTGCCAAAGTGGAATCCCCAAAGTTTCCGGAGGCCCTCCAGGGTCTCGCTTCTGGTTCTACTGTGCTCTCAGTGCTCAGGCAGCATTTCAGGCCAGCAAGCATCTTCGCGGTCGCATTCCAGACTCATTCGGAAAAGACAAGTGATAATGGCCAACCGACTACGTGGACGGCCTTGACGGCAAGCTCTTCGCCAGTTCTAAGCCGTCGGCAAACATAGACCTGGCGATATTTAGTAGGGGTCACTCTGCTTGCTGCGATTGCGGTTGCTCTTCACTGCAAGAAGCGCACCTTCGCAGCGGCGCCGCTGCCAATTTCCTGCGGCGGGGCACGGTTACTGAGCAGCATCCTGTCTACTCTTTCAACGCAGCTCCTCGCCCAGCTCCAACAAGTCCGATGGGTAACCGAACTTGCATCCTATCCGGACAACCTGCCGCGAACACAAAACGAAAGTTACCAGGGAAACGTCATCCCTAACACGCATCATTCGCATCATGCATCTGCAGTCATCGTGTGCCATTTCAGGAACAAGCTGGTGCCTCGTTCTCGGTACCATCTTCAGACCTGCGGAACGGCATGACATCATGTCAGCACGTCTACCTAATTGGTGAGGCAAAGTCTCCTGTTCTGGAGCTTCGGTCAATGCCCAGCTGAGGCTGAGACACTACTATTGACCGACCTTCCATGCGCCAAACTTCGCCGGAAGCTGAATCAAATTACCGGGGCAAACAAGCGTGGGCTAGGTGAGTGGGGGGGGGTATGGTATTGCCGAACTCTGGACGTAAATAATTTACAACTTGAGTGGCATAGGGACTGTCATTGTCGTCAGGTTTGTGGCCGATGCATGTTGACTTCAGAAACCCCGAACGGAAACGATAATTTGTCTGTCTGTCTGTGTAGATGCAGCATGCATGCGGACATATACACAAACAGAGCTCTTCTATACATTTCTCGCGGTTAAACATCTCAGATAGTTGCCATGTCATCCTAGATTTTCATGTTTGGTCCTTCCCTTGGGCCACTCATTGCAACGAGCTGTCATTTCGGATCGTCATCTGCTGGATCAAGACTGCATGTCCATCTGTAAGGCCAAACGACAGAAAGAGAGTAGCTTTAGCGGAAAACACATTGAAAACATGATGCAGGTAGTTGCAAGTGTGTCGAAAGAAAGGAAGGTGCATTGCCGCATTGAGCTTTCTTGCGCGTGCCTTTGGCAATTCTTCCCTGTGCAGCACCTTTGGTGGGCAGAGCGTGTTGCAAAGCGCAGAGTTTTGCGGTTAGTGAGACTCACGATTCGTAAAAAGTGGGCCCGCGCAGCGGCCGGGCTTGCTGAGATTCAGCCAGCGCCCACGACAGGCTACAAATGCGAACGCAAGTTGGCCATAAAGGATCGAAAAGGGAGCGACGCGGAGCCGTCAGGAACGAACTCCGGGATAGCAAGGCCTCGGTGAGTCGACTATCCTCCTGAAGACCGTGATGCCGGCGAAACTGCGGAAATGCTGTCGTGCAGTGCAGCAGAACAGCATGCATGTGGGATTGCTGATTGTCGCTGAGCTTCATGCATAAACTGCGTCAAACGTGGCGTCGCAACTCCGTCTAAACTGCCTTCAGACCACAGGAGTTCACGAGGAGGACGGTTGGTGAGCACACCTAAGCTATAGCTTGAACGCGGATGCACCGTCATGAACATATCATAGAGTGTGGGCATTAGGGTGCAGGCCACTTCTGCCAGGGTCGTACGGCAACGGGACAAAAGCTTGCAGGTCTGGATCTGCAACCTTGGAAACCGGTCCGTATGAGTCGGTGATGGTATGGGCTGCCTGTGCCGTTCCTGCTTTCGAGGCCTCCAGTGTGAAGTCATTCGTTGACGGCAGACGTTCATCTGGCCTCACAGATCGAAGAGAAGCGGCACGTTTGGCGCGACCCTTTCTGAGCAATGCGGTGCCTCAGGTGCAGGAGCTCCGACTGCAGCGAAGGCAACTCCTGGACATGAACCGACCTATCGGCTTTCCACAACAAATCCGCCGCTCGAGGTGCCTTGGAAGGTATGAAGTCGGAGATGCGTGGCGTGAACTCAGCCAGCATGGCCTGCAACTCGACGGACATCAGTCTGTGAAGCTCCGTGAAAGCTAGAAGTCCGTGGCACCTGCAAGGCCTGCTTCTCGGCCGCCAGGCTGCGGTGACTCCTCGGAGGCTGTGCTGCGCTCACATGCCGTGGTACACTGCAATGAGAATGCTGCTTCCGCTCTGTGCGTCGTGCCATCTCGAGGCCATGCTGGCTTGAACAACCGAAGGCTGCAAGTCCTTGTTTATAAGGCTCGGTCGCCAATCGCATGCGGTGACTGCTAGCAGCTACCGTTGCGCTGGGCCTTGTTCTCGTTCAGCAGCCAGCTGCTCCTGTCGTAAAGGCCCCCGTGTTCCCCGCGATGCCGCGCCGGACACACCCGGTGACTGGGCTTCCCAGCCTGTCAGGCATGAAATCCACGAGATCTTCAGAAACCTCAGAAGACGGAACACAGCATTCTCTGCCTGAGCCGGTTCTCTCTTTACCGGTTGAGCGCTCTGCAACGCTCGACTCACTGTGTGCTGACGGCCTCAATCTGTGCTCCAAGCGAAACCAGGCGACTTCATCTCCAGACATAGTACATAGTAACATAGTATTCAGTGAGGTGAGGACTTTCTGCGAAATGTGCTTGGCGCAAACCTGTGCAAGTCGAGCGACAAGAAAAGAGCATGATTCGCACAGCACAGCATGCAGCAGCATTGCTACAGTACGCAGGCATGGCTGCTGCCTGGACAGGCGCGGAGTTTCGATTTGTGCGTTGTCGCCCTCAGCATCCTGCAGCATATGACCGACACACACACACACACACACACACACACACACACACACGCACAGGTAGAGGGCTGCGTTAGATCGCGCGCAGCTCAGCATGTGTCCGTCAATACCCAGGCCGAAGCCGCCGGAAGAGCCGAGAAGGGCGCAACCTTCGTCGGTCACACGTCTCACACGTCACCCCAGGCTGTTGAGACATGTTGTGACTAAGACCTGCCCGCTCTGCAAAGCCTGCTCCGGACTTGGACTTGGCCTTAGAGCGCGTTCTGGGCCCTACAAGACTCTTGTAGATGCAATTAATACAGCAACCCATCTCGACCGTGTGAAACATACGATCGCTGGAAGCCCAACGTCACGGCTGGAGATGGCAAAGACGCCGGCAAGACTTCCTCACACAGACGGCACATGCTGAACGTTGGGCAAATGTCTGCGAGAGGTCTCGCAGAACGCCTGGAATGTTCCGCCAAGCGGCAGGACTGACAGCCGCAGCTTGGGCGACAGCAGCTTCTGCTGAACTTGGCGGCTCTTGCTTTACTGATTTAGAAAACGCCGATAGCCATCCGCTGGTTGCAGTGATTGTCTGCAAAAACTGGCAAGCAGCTCAGGCAACGGCACATCTGCTTGAGGACTATGCTGCGGTACCTTGCGACGAAAAGATCAAGCATGTCCAAGTCAGTGCTGAAAGAACCGGCTGCGCGAACTATAACGGAACGCCTGGAATAGTCCGCCAAGCGGCAGGACTGACCGCAGCAGCTGGGGCGACACCAGCTTCTGCTAAACTTGGCGGCATCCTGGTATCTGCTCTTTGCCGGCATCTGGAATGCAAAACACCGATAGCCATCAGAGTACGTCAAGACTGGATAGCGCACTCAGAAGATTGTGATTCTAAAAAGTTGTAGGCCTTTGCGCAGGCGACAGCGCAGCTTGAGCTGTATGCTGCTGTGCCTTGCGACAACTTTCCCTTGACTCGATGATTCTGGAGGGTGCAAAATATGCTGATTGGACTTACTATGGCACGTGGTAAACCACGGCCCGCAAGGCCCTGCCCTTCAATTCCGGATGGAGCCCGTCTTGAACATCATAAACACCTGGACAAACTCGCATCCATTACACACCTGTGTTCAACGCATGATTGGCAGCAGCCCTACTGTGTCGCAGCAGTCGTAACAATTGCGACAAATTGCGACCCTTCACTGCATTTTCATGGCAACATGTCCCGTACATGCCGCCAGCCAAGCGGCAGGACTGGCAGTCGCAGCTGGGGCGACACCAGCTTCTGCTGAACTTGGCGGCATCCTGGTATCTACTCTTTGCCGCCATCTGGAATGCAAAACACCGATAGCTTGGCTTGTAGCAGTGTTTGCACACAGCTCGGGCATCAGCGCATCTGCTTCAGCACGGCGTTGCTGCGCCTTGCTGCAAGACAAACACAACGCAGCAAGAAGCAGCTGTGCACAGTTGCACGGAACGCCTATTACACGCGGCCGAGCGGCAGGACTCGCAGTTGGGGCTGGGGGGAGACCAGGCGTTTGTGAACTCGGCAGCAGCCTTGCATACAATCTGCATTGTCGAAGACACCATAAGCATCCAAGAACCACATGGTCCTAGCAGCATCTCAGGCACAAACGTATCCGCCGCGCTCTCATCCTCAGACAACTATGACAGCTACTACATTGCTACGCGAAGCCCCTCACTTTCCGCTGCGCTGTTCTGAGCTGCAGACAGCAAAGTCGTGCAAAGCAGACTGCAGCCGCCCGTCCAAGTACCCCTTTGACAGCGCATCACGTGCTTTCTGCCGCAGCCTTCGTGCACGAAAGTGCGAAAGCCCATTGTAAGCAGAGTGCGACATGAATGGATAGCGCACTCAGAAGATTGTGACTCTGCACAGTTGCAGGCCTTTGTGCGGACGACAGTGCGGCTTCAGCACCTGTGTGCTGCAGTGCCTTGCGACAACTTTCCCATGAGTCGATTATTCTGGCTGAATATGGCACGTCCTGCTAAAAGCATTGGTGTCGCCAGATTAGAAACTCCGTAATAGTGAAGCCTGTGTGCCCCCGTGCACAGAAGGTTTGCATGTTCCTTTGACCCTGCCCTTCAATTCCGGATGGCGCCCGTTTTGAACATCATAAACACCAGGACAAACTCGCATCCATTACACACCTGCGTTCAACGCATGATTGGCAGCAGCCCTACTGTGTCGCAGCAATCGTAACAATTGCGACCCTTCACTGCGTTCTCATGGCAACATGTCCCGTACATGCCGCCAGCCAAGCGGCAGGACTGGCAGTCGCAGCTGGGGCGACAGCTGCTTCTGCTGGACTTGGCGGCATCCTGGTATCTATACTCTTTGCCGCCATCTGGAATGCAAAACACCGATAGCTTGGCTTGTAGCAGTGTTTGCACACAGCTCGGGCATCAGCGCATCTGCTTCAGCACGGCGTTGCTGCGCCTTGCTGCAAGACAAACAACAATGCAGCAAGAAGCAGCTGCGCACAGTTGCACGGAACTCCTATTACACGGGGCCGAGCGGCAGGACTCACAGTTGGGGCTGGGGGGACACCAGGCGTTTGTGAACTCGGCAGCAGCCTTGCATCCAATCTGCATTGTCGAAGACACCATAAGCATCCAAGAACCACATGGTCCTACCAGCATCTCAGGCACAAACGTATCCGCTGCGCTCTCATCCTGAAACAACTATGACAGCTACTACATTGCTACACGGAGCCCCTCATTTTCTGCTGCGCTGGGCGGAAATGCACCCTGTCTGTTCTGAGCTGCAGACAGCAAAGTCGTGCAAAGCAGACTGCAACCCCCCGTCCAAGTACCCCTTTGACAGGGCATCACGTGCTTTTCGCCGCAGCCTTCGTGCACGAAAGTGCGAAAGCCCATTGTAAGCAGAGTGCGACATGAATGGATGGCGCACTCAGAAGATTGTCAGTCTGCACAGTTGCAGGCCTTTGCACCGGCGACAGCGACAGCGCCGCTTCAGCTGTTTGCTGCAGTGCCTTGCGACAACTTTCCCATGAGTCGATTATTCTGGCTGAATATGGCACGTCCTGCTAAAAGCATTGGTGTCGCCAGATTAGAAACTCCGTAATAGTGAAGCCTGTGTGCCCCCGTGCACAGAAGGTTTGCATGTTCCTTTGACCCTGCCCTTCAATTCCGGATGGCGCCCGTTTTGAACATCATAAACACCTGGACAAACTCGCATCCATTACACACCTGTGTTCAACGCATGATTGGCAGCAGCCCTACTGTGTCGCAACAATCGTAACAGTTGCGACCCTTCACTGCGTTCTCATGGCAACATGTCCCGTACATGCCGCCAGCCAAGCGGCAGGACTGGCAGTCGCAGCTGGGGCGACAGCTGCTTCTGCTGAACTTGGCAGCATCCTGGTATCTACTCTTTGCCGCCATCTGGAATGCAAAACACCGATAGCTTGGCTTGTAGCAGTGTTTGCACACAGCTCGGGCATCAGCGCATCTGCTTCAGCACGGCGTTGCTGCGCCTTGCCGCAAGACAATCAACAATGCAGCAAGAAGCAGCTGCGCACAGTTGCACGGAACTCCTATTACACGCGGCCGAGCGGCAGGACTCACAGTAGGGGCTGAGGGGACACCAGGCGTTTGTGAACTCGGCAGCAGCCTTGCATACAATCTGCATTGTCGAAGACACCATAAGCATCCAAGAACCACATGGTCCTAGCAGCATCTCAGGCACGAACGTATCCGCTGCGCTCTCATCCTCAGACAACTATGACAGCTACTACATTGCTACACGAAGCCCCTCACTTTCCGCTGCGCTGGGCGGAAATGCACCCTGTCTGTTCTGAGCTGCAGACAGCAAAGTCGTGCAAAGCAGACTGCAGCCGCCCGTCCAAGTACCCCTTTGACAGGGCATCACGTGCTTTCTGCCGCAGCCTTCGTGCACGAAAGAGCGAAAGCCCATTGTAAGCAGAGTCGACATGAATGGATGGCGCACTCAGAAGATTGTCAGTCTGCACAGTTGCAGGCCTTTGCGCAGACGACAGTGCGGCTTCAGCACCGGTGTGTTGCTGTGCCTTCAGGGACACGAAACACCCCTTCGGCAGGATGCGGCTGATGCTAAACTGGCTTCATGCGGACTTGCGGATTCCTTGCACTGACATGCTGCCAAGCTGCAGCATTGACAGGATGACCGGACGCACCAGGAGTTTCGCAACTGCCCAGTTGCCTTGTGCACACTGTTCACTCGCAGGCATGTGAACTGATTTGTAGCAGTGGTTGCGAATTGCAAGCTCAGCAGGACGCTGCTGAACCTTGGGCAAAATGCGAGAGCAAGAAACAGGTCAGATGGAGATCTCTAAGTTGTGCTGCAGGCAGAAAGGGGCCGGGCTGGAGCTGTGCCGGGGTCTCGCGATGTCTGCAGAAGCCTCCCACCCAGTTTGCGCAGGCAACAGGGCCAGACAGGCAGCTAGAGCCAGCTAGGGCAGAGGCACATCCGCTTCATGCTCTTCCTCAACGAATTCGTTGGTGTGTTTCGTCAAGCTTGCATCTGTACAGCTGCGACAAGCACTGTATAAGACGTGGACAGGAAGACTGCACAAAGCAGAATGCAGCCGCCCGTCTAAGTACCCCTTGGACAGGGTGTCCCGCGCTTTCCGCCGCAGCCTTGATCGACAGCAAGATGCAAGCGGCATATGCGGCATCCTCAGAGATCTCCGTACCACCGCAGAATCGCAGAACTGTTGTTGGCCTCTGCATCGTGGAAGCTTGTTGCTCTCGAGCGATCTGGCGGGGTCACGCGCTCCGGTGAGAAAGCAAGTGCCGGTGGTACGAGTTGTGCAGCAAAGGCACCGGGCGGCTGGCAGCCTTGAGCGCAGGACCTTCAAGCGCGTCCGATTTTCACAGCTACTTTACAGTGAAGTTGCTGCACCTCTCTCTGGAGATAACTTTGGTGTGCAAGTCGTTGAGGTTTGGAGGTGGGATCCGGGATGTTGGGTGTGGCCCGGATCTTGTTTGCTTACCTTTCGGCTGAAGGCACATGAGAGCCACACCAGGCTCATCGGAAGGCTGGGCCTCGAGCAGAGAGGACCGGCTCTGGCTCCGGAGATTCGAGTTGCTATGTCAAGCCAGCTTCGAGTACTTCTTGCTGACATGCAGCTGGTGGAGACTCCGGCGGAAAGCCCTCACAAGACAGCAACTCCCTCTCGTCTTGCAAATGGTTCAGGCAATTCCACAGCGCCTTGGAGCCAACATCCCTGGCAGCCGCAGCTTGTAAACACCTGCACAAGCCCACTGCGCAGCGCCCTCCCGCACGCTTCCTTCCCCTCCGCCGAAAAGGCCTCCCTAAATAGAGAAACGGATCCTCGCAATCTCAGTCGTGTGTGTGACATGAAGCCTTTGATTGCACGAAGAATCTCTCCTCAGGTTGCTCTGCAGTGAGTCCCTGAAACACCTCTTTCATGAAGGAGTGCCTCAAAGCTGATGCACAAAGAGAGACGGGGTGCGCGGCCGCGAGGCCCAGGCAGATCGTGCTTTAGAAGATATGCTTCGATGGCAGCTTCCTTCGGCAATGCGGCAATGCCTTGAGTCAATCGCGCCTCCTTCCCAAGCCAAGGGCCTTGTCCTTTCTGCTCAACTTCGGAGTATGGCAACTCTCCTGCTCCTCCTCCTCGGCAAGAAATCAAGAGAACGGAAGAGCTTCAGACTGCACCCGGGACGCGGACACCATCCACTCTGCGTACACGGAAGGTGACCTTGAGGCATTCCAGATGAAGTCCCACGCGACCGCGACAAGTCCAAGTCCGCACTCGGTGCCCGAACACTCATAGCCTTGCCACCGTTGCTCATTGGAACCTAAAAGCAACAAAGCAGCTTCGGGCTTCCGTGCCGCAAGCCGCCCCGCCGGCCCCGCCGTCGCACCTTCAGGAGCTGCTCGCATGGACCAGGCGAGCAGACCTGCATCCGTGCCGCTGCGCCGCTCGGGTTCGGAGCTCTTAAGCTCTTGATAACTGGGGAAGCGAGCCTCATGCCCTTTGGCCCTGCAGGTCAGCACGTCCAGCTCCACAGGAACAGGCCTTGCAGAAGTCAGGCCTTTTTCAAGTCTTTTTGGGGAGGTTTTGGGAGATCCGTAAATGAGCTTGGTGCGGCTGCTCGAGCTTGAAAGGTGCCTTTGAAATGAGTGGGGAACCGACAAGATCCTGATGCAAGTACTTCCTCGGTCAATTGAAGACAGCTCAGGCCTGGCATGGTATCAGCTGCTGCCGTCTCGAGCTGCCAGACCTCACCTGGTGACTACTTCTAGTCGATCCATGAAGATCCGCCGAACCTTGCATCAGCTTGGGCACTGGCTGAGAGAATGCTGTTGGGCGGAATGCCCTGCGTTTGAAGGACGTGGAGGCGCATACCTTCATCGAACAGTTGCAGGGAGTGCGACAGCGTTGAGGATTCGCATCAGTTCATTTGCCACGCCTTTGGCGCTTCTCTCATGGCTCGCTTGCGGTGGGATGAGCTCCTGCCAAGATGCGCAGCAGCAGATATCTCATCCGACGTCCTTGGCCGAGCTATTTCCCAGGGCCCAAGCACTCGGCTCCCCCATCGCAAGCTAGCGAAGCGAGCAATGCCCGAGCCAAGCAGCGAACGCAGCAGAGTCGGAAAGCTCTCGAATCTCACATGTACCATTCATCTGGAGCATTGACTGAGCTGCGAAACGCAGGCTCCCTTGCCCCTGTTTTCACCAGGCTTGCACCGCGCACTTCGTGAGCCGCTCAGGCGCATCGAAGAGGCAAACGCCGCCGCTGGGCCACGGCACTTCGCCGGCTCCCGTTGGCGACAACCCTTCGACCTGAAAGGTATCGGAATATCGCAACAGAGATCTAGGAGCGCGATACTTCTGCTGCTTCCTGGAGGCTCAGCTATGGGAAGTGACTGAAGCTAAGCAAACAGTCGGTGGATGACTCGTGAGGACACCTATCACCTTTTCTTAGCTTATCTTGAATCTGGACTCCACCCGGTCTCTCTTTAGCAGGTTCACTCGACAGGTGCGTCCCGGAAGTGTGGCCAAGAACACCTCAACCAAAGACGAAAGAACCGAAGAATGGCTGCATCAGTTGGAACTTGGTACTACGACGACCGAAAACGACATGAACCAACATGGAAACTCGGTGGAGTTCTGGAGCCAAGGGCGAAATCACAGCGGAATGCAAGTGCCAGGCAATGGCGTGAGAAAGTATTATGCACTCGACATCAACGACAGCGCTTTTGAACTTTTTGTTCACGGCCATCAAGCACAGCCGAGATCTTGAGGTCTTCAAGTCGGAGCTCAGCAAGACTGCAAAACCGCCACGAGCCCATCGATGGCCATGGCAACTTCGCGACAGCCCCATGTCATCTTCATCATGCTGAAGACCTGTCAAAGGGGGACATCAGATTATCAGCAGGACTGAGACCATGAGGCGGGCCTGGATGGCGATGGTGGCCTCAGGGCTGGCGCCGGTCTGCAGCAAGCTGCCGGCCGTATCGCAGGCCTCGGGAAGGTGCTGCCTACCTGGGCCCTAAGAAATTTTGTGGCACAAGACAAGACTTGTCGGGCCTTCTGCTTCTGTTCCTGGACGGTGCTTTTCGATTCAGCGATCTCCTTGCTTTTTTGCTGCATCTTTGGCTTCGCTTCTTCGCACGTCTTGATGTCCGCCTTGATGTTGGCAACGCGCTGGTCGAAGGTCAGCTTTGCTTCTTGCTGCCCTTCGGATTGGCCTTGCTGCCCGTGGTGCTCCACCGCCACGTTCAGCTTCCCTCCACCGCCAGGCACCACAATATCGCCCGTGAAGTCCGGGGCATTGAAGTCAGGCATCTGGATGTTGAAGGAAGTGCCCTGGACTTGGCCGACCTTGATCTCAGGTACCACGATATCGATCTCAGGGATGTGCACAGTGGCGGAGACCTGAACACTGATGCACTGCTCCACGGCAAGAGTGTACTTTGCGAAAGCATCCTTCAATTCCGTTGCATGCGCGGGACAGAACTGGCCCTGCCCCTGCCCGGAGGAGAAGGAAGAACCCATGGACTCCTCGGCCTTCTTCTTGGCTTTCGTCTTCTCACACTCCTCTGCCTCATGCTGAATGCTCTGCAAAGCCTGGCGCTCGCTCTCCACCTTCTCCGTCTCCTGCTTGATGCCTACGGCACATTGACCCAACTGCGCCTGTAAGTCGTAGAGCTCTTTCAGCCTTCCAAAGCACATGGACTTGGCCGTTTCCATCTCTTTGCGCATGTCCTCGTCGCTCTTCTTACACTTTGAGGCATCGCCGATCTTGATGGGGGAGTCGCACGGTGGGATGGGGCCAAAGTCTCGGTCACCAGTGGCAATGAGGCAGTACCACAGCGGCACAAAAGTCGTTTTCTGAAAAGATGGGTCTTTGCAAGCCACTTCCAGCTCCTTCTGTCCGCAGTTCAAAGCATCCGCCATCATGCCACCCATCATGTCCATCATGCCACCCATGTCAACTCCAGGGAAGGGGCCACCGCCGCCGCCAGCCTGGGACTGGCCACCGGGCTTGGGAAAGCCGGGCAAGCCACCCCCACCAAAGTCGCCAAAGTCACCCATACCCGGAAAGCCGCCCTTTTTGTCGTCCTTTTGGGCTCCAGGCATGCCCCCGCCGCCAAAATCGCCAAGCCCGCCGGGCATATTTGGAAAGTTACCTGCTCCGAAGTCACCAAATCCGCCGAAGCCGGGTGGCTGCTCTAACTGTTGTGACTGGTGGTTGCTGCGCTTCGCATATGTCAGGGCCATGGTGCATGCCAGGCCAAGACTGGCAAGGTACGAAGGAGCCATCACGAAAAGGGGTCGACCGGATGACCGGACGAAGTTTTAGCAAACGATCACCTAACTGGGCAGGAGACGGCTTCTTCGCGCAAAGAGCAAAGAGGGTTTGAAACTTCACCTTGCTTGCTGGCATTTGGCATGCAGCAGGAGCATTGACTGAGCTGCGAAACGCAGGCTCCGCTGCCCCCGTTTTCACTACCAGGCTTGCACCGCGCACTTCGTGAGCCGCTCAGGCGCATCGAAGAGGCAAACGCCGCCGCTGGGCCGCGGCACCTCGCCGGCTCCCGTTGGTGACAACCCTTCGATCTGAAAGGTATCGGAATATCGCAACAGAGATCTAGGAGCGGGATACTTCTGCTGCTTCCTGGAGGCTCAGCTATGGGAAGCGATTGAAGCTAAGCAAACAGTCGGTGGATGACTCGTGAGGACACCTATCACCTTTTCTTAGCTTATCTTGAATCTGGACTCCACCCGGTCTCTCTTTAGCAGGTTCACCCGACAGGTGCGTCCCGGAAGTGTGGCCAAGAACACCTCAACCAAAGACGAAAGAACCGAAGAATGGCTGCATCAGTTGGAACTTGGTACTACGACGACCGAAAACGACATGAACCAACATGGAAACTCGGTGGAGTTCTGGAGCCAAGGGCGAAATCACAGCGGAATGCAAGTGCCAGGCAATGGCGTGAGAAAGTATTATGCACTCGACATCAACGACAGCGCTTTTGAACTTTTTGTTCACGGCCATCAAGCACAGCCGAGATCTTGAGGTCTTCAAGTCGGAGCTCAGCAAGACTGCAAAACCGCCACGAGCCCATCGATGGCCATGGCAACTTCGCGACAGCCCCATGTCATCTTCATCATGCTGAAGACCTGTCAAAGGGGGACATCAGATTATCAGCAGGACTGAGACCATGAGGCGGGCCTGGATGGCGATGGTGGCCTC